TGATTTGACCATTTTTAAAGATTTTTCTATTTCTCTGGGAGGTTTATTTGGCTTTTTCAGCTTAATGATGGCCTCCTTCACTTGCATCCACATCTTTGGACATATATTGAGAGTTTTAGTGCAAACATCCTTCAACTTGAACACTTGGAATCAACTCCAGATCGTTTGTCTGCTTAATTTATCACGAAATAACAAACTAGCCTGACCTGAAACTCCCAGTCAGCTGTACAGTTAACTTTTGAGTCTCTAAAAGTGGAGACACTAAGTATAAAAATTGTTGAACCCCTTGAATTAAAGCTGAATGTCTGCACTACAATAACATCTTTATTGTTTGATTTAAAATCCCCTCTGATGACATACAGTGACAAAAACTGTAAACATTGTGTCATCATCCAAAGACTAATGGATCTAAGTCTATATAAATGGGTTCTTAATGCTTATAGGCATATTGTGATTGGGTTAGAAACAGCTTTTAAATGAAACAACCTCAAATACACAGTGGAACAGAAAACTCAGCCTTTGAAAACTGCATTTGCAATGAACGATCAGAAACAAAGTTCATGTTCTTTAGATGTATAAATACGATTTCTCAGCTACCTCTAAGAAGTCGACATTTTGGAGCAGAACAAACATTACGTATCGAAGCGACAACACAGCAACACAGATCTACCCGAGTCACCCTGGTGATAGGATCACATGCTCACCACCGCCGTCCGTGACTCAACTCGGAGGTGGGTGTCTGAAAGCTGTCACACTTACACACTCCAGCATCCTACCTAATCATCCACCTACTGTGCCACACAGCAGGGGAGAGCAGGAGAGAGGAAGAGGGAGACAGACTCAAGGAGAGGAGTTAACAAGAGAGGGAGAGGAATGATGATGAGGAGGAAGAGCTGAACGAGGAAAGAAACACCAAAAGAGTCAGACGAGGAGACAAACACATGCACTTCTGGATGAGGAAACAAGATCGGGGAAGGCCAAATGTATGCAGTGCTGTTTGTCATTTAGCAGCTGCCCCCTGACGCAGCTGAGAGAAAATAAATGGAGGGAGAGATGAGGATGACGTGACTTCTTGTCTCCTCCCCACCTCCCAGTGTGCTGGGTGAGAACTTATCTTCAGGGTGTGGGGACACATGATGAGAGTCTGCAGCCCTCGCCTACATGAGCTCGTCTCACATTAAATAGATCCAGTTTGAGCCGGTGTGCCGAGGATGTTTTTTATTTTTATCGGTTTTACTCAAGGCGGTGGGTTGTTTTGACCCACTTTTTTCATGTGTAACTAATATGGTTTAGATCTGCTACAATTAATCAATTTATTCATCAGCTGATTGATAGCATGCTGGTTCAAGCTGGAAAAAGGAATCACCTGTGGTAAATTGTGATGGCTCTTCCCCCCCAAGCATGTGATGGATGTTAAAATAATCAGCATATGGCTCAGTACTGAAAATACTAATTATCTACAGCATGAAAAATATGGATAATAGAACAATGTGTCCAATGTAAATTGAAGCTTTAACTTGCAACTTTGATAGATTTATTCTCTCTAACTTGTAGCATGTACTCCTGACATCCACAACACAGTAGGTAGTAGAGCCTGAACGATGTATCGTGGGTGCTGAGATATCACTGATATTAGCGATTTGCCAATATCGGTGTTTGTATTTATAACGGCTGATAGTTGAAAACTCACAAAAATAAACTATGTTGTAGAGGTTGATGGTGCATAGCTTGCCCACCAAATGAACATCTACAACTTCCCACTTATGACACATTCCAGATACCTCGGAAATCGGATGCCGTCACTCCCGAGTTAACGCATTCCAGGAAAAGTGAGGAAAACTGGATTTTGTTTTAGTTCTTAGCAAGGTAGAGCCTATCACTAGCAATACAGCATTATACTTCTTTTCTTGCACTTTAATAACACATTCACAGATAGAGCCTGCTCTATATGCAAATGGATTAGTTAGTCACAAATACACAATAGTGGCAGTACAGATTAAAATCTTTACTGCTATTTACACACAGTGGCTAACTCTGGGTACGTTTGTCTGTTTCCACTTCCCTAGCAGTAAATCCAAGTTGAGGGGATGCGCCACAAAAAATTTCTGACTGGGAACTCGGAATTTCTGACTTCCGATTTATCCAGGAGCGCGACTTAATGCAGTAACAGCAGATCTGAGCACAGTGTAAATGAGTAATCCATGACTTGCGCCAGTAAAGCAAGATTGCTTTTAAACTGAATTGTTATATATTCTTATATTATTAAAGGGGAATCATAAATAAATACACAGAACAAATCTGAGTGAAATCTGTTTATGGTATCGGTCTTAAAAATCCTATATCGGTCGCTCGTGATACAACTATTCCAAAAGTACAGAACAACAGAATACCTCTTTTTCAAATCTCATGAACCCATATTTCATCCATTCATCCATTCTCTACTGCTTATATTTTTTTAGGGTCCCAGCTGTCTTAGGGGGCGAGAGGCAGGGTACACCCTGGACAGGTTACCAGTCTGTCGCAGGGCTAACACATAGGGACAGAGACCACTATTCGCACCCACATTCACACCTGTAGGCAATTTAGAGTTTCCAGTTAACTTATCCCCACTAACTGCATGTCTCTGAACTGTTGGAGAGCGCGGAGTACCCGGAATGAACCCATGCAAACACAGGGAGAACATGCAAACTCTACACAGAAAGACCCCAGCCTGATGGTGGAAATGAACTCAGGACCTTCTTGCTGTGATGCAACACTGCTAACCACCACTTTGCTGCCTCGTATTTCATGTATTAATTTAGTCACAATAAAATGCAGAAAAACATAACAATAAATCAAATGTTTAAAATATTATTTTTAAAAAAGATTATTTTGAACTTGATGGCAGCAACATGTCTCAAAAAAATCTGTGATGGGGTAAAAAAAAAAGTTGAAAATGTCATCACCCTTGTTCACCCTTTTGGAACATTTTGCATCTTTTTCTTCTTCTTCCTCTTACTTTGGCTGCTCCCTTTAGAGGTCGTCACAGTGGACACTCTGCTCCATCTCACCTCATCTCTACATCCACCTCTGTCACAGCAACCCTCTGCATGTCCTCCATCAGCACATCCACTAGGAAAAGAGCAGTATCGTGGGCATCGTAGAGAGTTTTTCAGAAGTTCACTAATCTGTAGAAACTTCTACAAATTATGGAACAAGTTCAGAATAATGTTAGTCAGTGTAAAATCGTAAAGACATTTAATATCTCATCTAGAGTATATATCATCAAGAGATTCTGAGAATCTGGAAAAATCTCTGTGTGATAGGGACAAGGCTGCATCCAATCAATACTGGATGCCCGCAGTCTTTGGACCCACTGCATTTAAACCCGGCAAACTTTTATGCAGTTATAACAATGGAAATCTGGAATTCTTTTTGGAAAACATGGATGTTGACTCCTCTGGACCGTGGCGTGTAATACACCACCACCACCAGCCTTCAGCGTTGATATAAGACAGGATGGAGCCTGGATTCTCTGTTGCACTAGTTTCTACAGCCATCAAATGTGTTATTTATCAACATAAAAATATTCATCCGTGTATAATGCAAGATAAGGAAAAGTGATGGATTCACTAAGTGAGAAGCACTAACCATCCAGTGTGTTGCATTTGTTATTGCAGCAATGACCTAAAAGTGAAAAAAGTTACAGATAGCGCCTCAAGAGTTTTGAGGCAACTGTTGTTGTGATTTGTTGCCATATAATTTTTTAGTAAATGCGATGGTAAAACACGCTATAGTTTAGCTTTGGTTAATAACTCAAAGGATAAATGAAAATTAACATAAAGCTTTGTAAAAAATTTAACTGCGGTCCTGATGTTTATTTCTAACCTGATGACTTTATAGCCACGAATAATGAGTAAAACTGTCAGGTGAAGCTGGCTCTCTACACTCTCTGGTCCATGCTCCAACCCAAAATATACTTTATAAAGGAATAAAAGAACAATAAAACAAAATAAAATTTCAGCCCAAATCAATAAACAGCTCTGTGTGTGTGTTTATGATGTATAGCTGTTTACAGAGCTGTTTATTGAGTGGTTTGACTTGAAATATAACTTAATTGTATTGTGGAAGTAGGAAGAGAAAGGACGTGTGTGACTTTTTAATGATCAAATGTTGTTTAGCTCGTTGAAATATGGAAATACAGTGCGTGATTGGTTAAAGTAAGCATTACTTAGTTCACTGAATGGTTTACAGTTTAGGAGGAAATGACTCTCTGTTTGAACCCCTGCTGTCAATCTTTGTTTAAGATCGGATAACATTCTAGTCCATGCCATATGAGTGAGCCAATTCCTGCAATAAGAATAGCGGTGGCATTCAAAGTGCTGCCCCTCAGCACTCCTAGTAGATAAACGTTTGGTATCAAGTTCAAAATCCTACGTTACCTCATTCTTGAGCTTTTGCATTCACAAGGTTTTCAGAAAACTTGACCTCTGACCTTGAGGTCAAGGTCACTGCGATTTGAACTTGTCCAAGACTTTTAGCAGATGCACCAAATTCTTACGTGTTATCACATTCACAAATTTGCGTGTTTGCGCTGCCATGGTGACGACAATACCCCAGAGCCTTTTATAGCTAAAAACATGAAAAGCTGTAGAAACAGCAGAAAAACACATGGCAAGAAACATTTTTCAGTTTCAAAATCTGGAACTGTCACATAAGTGACTTAACATGGTCACTTTATGGTTAGGAAAACTGATTAATTCATACAGCTATTTAAAGTATTCACTGATTTTATGTTTGGCACATGTTGTCCTCCATACTGGAGGAGGTCAGCTCATCAGCTGAGGATGGTAAACGGGCCCCTGTTAGGAGAGATATCAAATCTAACAGTGCCCTCCTCTGGATAAATCCCAGCATGACAAGCTGAGGTACAGTTCCTGTTTCGGTGATGAGGTTTCACCAAACCAAGTGAAACCTGTGGTTCAACACAGAAAGAAGAACAGACGAGAGGCAGCCGGGGATCGTCTGTACAGTTTTTGTCTCCTGTTTTATTTGGATGAATGAAACACTTTCAGTTACAAAAATGACTTAAAATGAACAACACTGTACAATGAACAAGCAGTTATTTTTCTTCCTTTTTTTTTGGTTTTCAAGATAAATACAGTAAAAGGCTAACTTGCTACCACAAGGGAGAATAAAGGGGGGCAGACAGAAGGGGAGGGGGGCTGCTCACAGGATGGAAGACACAAAAGGGGGAGGAGTGACAGTCACGCAGCCCTACCCGCAGTAACACACACACACTCAGACACACACACGGACTATTGTGGCAGTGGGAATTAAAGCTACATGTACTGGGAAGTTGGCAAACAGCACGTTACAGTTGACATAACAGGTCATGTGTTGGAGTTCGTTATTCTCCAAAGAACAATCTTTTTGTCTGCCACACCCATCCCACTTTCCAACGACCCAAATCCCACCCAGTCACACACATACACACACAGACAAACACACAGACACACCCACAGGTAGATTCAACAGACTAGGTCGGCCCACCGACCGCTTCCAGCAAAAAAAATCTCAAACTTCCCCTCGTCAGAGTTTTACAGCTCGCTCTTTCTCCCGCTCTCTCTTTTGCACACACACACGCACACACAGGTGTAGACAAACATCCAGGGGTAAAGGTCATACAGGTAGATGTTAGGACCAAACATCGGGGTGAAGCAAATGAAAAGCAGGGGTAGGTGGGTGCAGAGGGAGGGAGGGAGGTGATGGTAGTTAAAGCAGTACTCTGGCAGCACAAGCAGAAAGGACACAAACTTAAGAAGGATCAGAACAGCTACAAAGATACCAAGAGAAACTTCATTATCATCGTCATCATCGTCGTCATCACCGTGATCATCATAATTATGAGAAGCTTAAGATTATTTTTCCAATGACAAATACTTAAAAATATACATTTCATCATCATCATCATCTTAATTATTATCATTATTATTATATCCCTTTGGATAGCTGAGGTTAATGCTTCAGACCGGCTCGCTAGGTGACATAAGGATTCAGAGGGGAGACGACAGAAAGGGTGGGATGGAGATCGAGGGAGAGAGAGGTGAAGGATGGAGCGGAGAAGCTTTGTGTAGAAGAGAAGGTCAAGTTAGAGCTCTTTGGTTTTATTCTTTAACATCTGACTTGCTTTGCTGTGTTGCAGGAGAACCTTTGGATTAAAGCTGCATTGTGGAAGAGGGAGAGAGAGAAGGGATGGATGAAGGAGCGGAAGAGCGTGTCTGTGTGGATGAGAGTGGGCAGAGGAAGACGAGCTTTCTTTTGCTCAGCTTGCTGTGTCTCTCACTCTTCAGCAGTTACATCTCTCATGGCTTCGTGCGCAGCGACAAAATTTGACTACTTTCTCACATTTTGAAAGAATAGTCAGACGTTTTAGATGGGAAATGGGCTCATTCGCTTTCTTGCTGATTGTTAGATAAGATGATCGTGACTGTAGGGTAGATCTGAAGCTACAGTCCAGGGTTGTCGGTAGACTGGTGTAGCATAAAGAAAGGAAGCAGCATTCACTTTCTTCTAAGTTCCAGGATGTAATAACTCATGGTGCTATAGGGAGCCTTAGTAATACTTTACGGGTGCGTGCAACAAGGTTCCTTCCTAACATCCACAAGGAGAGCTGGTGTTGAGAAACATGAACAGAAAAGTCACACCGACATAAACCACCATCCTCTCAACTTTACCCTCAGTCACATGCTGGCTCACTGCATTGGCAGTCAGTCATCAAAGCTTCACTCTAAGTGAAGCACTACAGTTTAAATGCACTTTGGTACATCCAGCAGAGAGCAGAAGCGTTAACATTTGCATTAAATTCAAGCAGCTATTTTCAGGTTGGTGCAAAATCTAAACCTGTTCATGTGTGGCTTTTTTTTAGCCAGTTTGATCTACCGTGTACAAAGGCTGATCTGACAACAGCACTTCTAGTCTCCACTGTGGGATGCGTGACTGAGAAAAGATTCAGTTCAACACCTCTACAATCCACAGGTTAAAAAAAACAAAACACCAACCCACACCTCTTAAGCTCAGTGGTTAAAATGTTAAAGACTGTATATAAAGATGGGTCTGAAAAGTCAAGCCAGAAGGGAGGGGGAGGGGGGGGGGGAGTGCCTTAGACCTGCATTCTTTCTAATGGCCAGCAGGAGGAGACTCTTCCATTTGCAAGAAATAAGTCAAGAGGATTTAGTGTGACTGACAGTTGCTACTATCCGAGGATGCAGCCACCCTCAGTTTCCATTTCTGCCAATGTGACGGCTTGTTTTTGATTAAAAGAAGGCGACAACCAAAATATGAAACTTGAGGCTTCACAGCTGAACTTTACAAGACAATCTTTGGCATCACCATGGCCGCATTGGCTTTATATGCTACTGTAACCTTATCTAACATTCTGCAAGAAAGCGAACATTTCATCCCTCCAGTGTGCAACTGTGTTTAAAAACAAAGAACAACTTCTGTAAAGATTTTATGGAGGAGAATGCCTGACAGTTATTGCAACGTCAGGATTTTTGGGAGCGTGAACATCGCGCTGGGTCACATGGCAGGGCATTGACTTTGGTATCATTCGCTAAGGGGGTATCCCTGCCACAGAGACCTGCACTTTGCACCCGGTCCCTCAAACCCCGAGGTTCGAGAGAGACAGAGAGTAGGGAAAAAAAGATGAAACATCTGAACTCTCAGGAAGAATCCAGATGTTTTGATCATGTGTACATCTCTCCCTCCAACTTCCACTTTCTCAACACACATACACATAAACACACACGTACACACACAGAGTTGTGAAACGTGTTTGGATGCGTCACCTAGCAAGCTCGGGTTCAGCCGTCCCCGTGGCTACCTGCCCTACGGCGCCTCCTGATGCACGTGGACTGATCAGATTGGGCAATAAAGACCCAAAGGCGAAAGAGGGCTAAAGTTGCTCCGAGGCACAAACCTGGAAGCTTTATAAAGTCTATAACAGATCCAGATTTGATGTCAGAAGAGCAGCTTTAAGCCCATAGTGCATGTTTGACAGGGAGGCAGCAGTGAGGGTAGGATGTGAGGAGAGGGCTGTGTTCAAAGCTCAACACAGACAGCGGGGGTGGTTTTCAGGGGGACAAGGCATGTGTGTGTGTGTGTGTGTGTGTGTGTGTGTGTGTGTGTGTGTGTGTGTGTGTGAGTGTAGACTGGAGCGTAAACCAGTGGGGCCTTTTAACCCTAAACTGCACCAAAACTACAATCCATCCAAGGATTTGGTCCCCTCCCAAATTGTTCCCAAACCTTTTGTCCATAAAGAATAATGACCTTTGACCTCACCGTGCCGCTTCCAGTCAGTACAAGCACACAGTCCACACGTCCCCATACCCCAATACCCACTGGAGCCCCGCGATTTAAAGCATTCATCTATTTGGTTTATCATCAAAGAATATGAGGTATATGATGAACTATCTCTCTCTTACATCCTACAGTGGATGGAGGAAATTTAAAAAGAAGGCAAAAGCACCTTACACAAAAAGTGGAAACGGAAAGAAAAAACAGAAACGGAGACAAAGTGAGACGTTAGAAGGCAATTTACAGCTGGGAATTCAAAATCACCCTCTTTCTCCTTTGCCTCCTTCTTTCCTCTCTATCATGTAAAAAACAGCGAAGCCTTGGCCCTAGTTGATCTTCTTCTTTTGTGTTTTTGGTTGTGTAGCTGTAAAGCTTTGTGTGTTCTCCCTGTGGAGAAAAGATAGAGAACAGAGGCAGCATTGTGCCTCAAAGAACACTTCATGCTACAAATCATATTTATCCTTTCCCTGCACCGACGCTGGATTTTAGACCAACTTTTTCTTTTAATTACACCCAGACACAAAGTACGTCCACAAAACCTGCGCCCCTGCAAATCATGAAGCGTCGGTCCGCACAGTGCTACCTCTCACCGCTGCGTGCTTCCCTTCCCCTTTAAGAGGAAAGTCGTCTCGATGAGGAAAGGAAGGGAATATCTTCATATAACCCCCCCTAACAGAACCTGCGTTGGCATTTCTGGTATTATTTGGTTTGAAGACAGAAGAAAGAACCTCAGAAGGGTGTTGAAAAGAAAAACATGACAAATACATCCCCAAAATAGGAAAATGAAAAAACAACTATAGGAATAAATTACCAAATAAATAGCAAAGATAAAGACAAGCAAACAAACCAACTCTACCCTGAATAAATAGTACAATCAAAAGTCTAAATCATGATTAACAAGGAGAAAGAAAAATCCAAAGAGAGATAGTTTAAATTTTTGGTCTAAAATCAAGTTATTATCATCAATGTTTTTTAAGGATCTTTTTTTTTCTCAAAGTCTTTTTTGTAAGCATTTTTTCTTTTTAATACATTAGCGATAAGTAAGCAGTAGAACATAGATCTTTTTTTTCTACAAAATCTATAGAAGCACTAACAGGTACATTCCGTCTAAGAGTCAACGTGGAGGAAAGGATTCACCTTTAAGGTGCGACCACGCCCCTTCTCCCCACATCTAAAGCTTGGTTTGTGAAACGATTCTCGTGTGTCGACTGTCTTTTTCCGGTGCGCATCAAACCAAATATTCTTTGGATACGTTTGCGTCCAACTTGCAACACATCACCTTAACCGAGGCCTTCGCTGTGTGTGTTGTTCTGTATCTGTGAGCGCGTTTCACGCTGCTGTCTTTGGGTTTCGGGATTAGTGACAAGAGATCACTGCTAACCTTTTATTTTTCTCACCGCTTAAATACAGAAAAACACACTCAGACTAACTGAGACCAACACATTTCTCCACCCTTGTGCAGAAAAGGCGGTATCTGTCCCTGCCCACTTTGTGTTTTTGGTTTGGTTCATTTGGTTTGGCATTTTTTAATTTTTTTTAAGGTTTGCTATTCAACTCTTTTCGTTTTTGGCTTATTGTGTTCGTCTTCAGTTTTTTTTTCTGCCGAGACAGTCCGTTTCTTTATCTAATAAAAATCTGGAAGCTAAATTTTCACAGTATTTTTTTCCAACCACCTGATAAAAATCTCTAGCACGACTACAAAAAAAATAGCTCTTGTAGTAAGTAAGCGAGTACGTTATCCCAAATAAGTAGTAATAAGCACTAAAGTACAGTACATAAAACGGCATCAAGAGACACAGCAAAGATAAAACAATCGGAACCAACCAACAGAAAAATAAAAACAGATTTTTTTTCCTTTTAAATAAGATTTCAGTTCAGTGAGGTCATTTGCGTTTAGCTCCATCCAGGACCAGAGAGCTGAGCTGGAGAGGGGGGGGCAGAGGAGGGGAGGAGCCGTCTGTTGCTCCTCTAAGTCGCCTCCATCCATGCTACACAGTTTCAGACAGGCTGGCACTGCAGCCCTGACGCTTACAGACAGACACACAGCGATGCTTCGTTTGTTTCATCTCCTGCACCGTGTCCTCCTCCCGTCCTCCTCCCTCCAGCCACATTTGGTTTGGGTTCTTTTTGGTTTGCTTCTGTCGCTCCTTGGGTTTTGGGTTTGTTTGGTTTTTATTTGGTTTGGGTTTATTTTTGGTATCCTCTTTAAAAAAAAAAAAAAAAAAAGCAAAAACAACAAAAAACATGTGACACCTGCTCCCTGCTCACTACAGCGTGTCCCAGCATACCCTTCTTTGTTGTAGTAAAGGATCAGTCCCGTATAAATAAAGAAACCCCCCCTTCCCGAGTTGGGTTTCTTGGACGGGCCGGGTGGAGGGGATTACAGCAGAGGGGAGTGGGGGCTTCTTCCAGTGTTACCCTCCTGTTCTCAGCTCCCCCCGCCCCCCTCATCTCCACCTCTGTCTCTGTATTGTGTTCATGTGTCTTGGCTGCGGCTCTTATAGAAAAGCCCAGCCTTGAAAAAATGCTTTGGTTTCCATTTGAGAATTAATGGCAGTCTGAGGTGGAAAATGAAATGATTGATGGGGTGATGATGGAAACAGACAAATATCAGTAAACATGTCTAGACATACAGGTGTCAGGACGTCTACGCTGATTGACGAGGCAGGAACGAGAGCCAGCTGTGACTAAACTTGGCTTTATTGACTTGTTTAGCCTTCAATCTCAAACGGTGATTCCTGCAAATCTCCAATCACAGCCCCATTTCATACTTTCCAAACGGTCACCACTCTTTACAAACATCATTTTCAGAGTGTGAAGTTTAGCAGGGCGTGTTCATTTAAGCCGTGGAGTCACCGATAATGGGTTATCTTTAAGACCGAGCAAAGAACGGGTCTGATTAAGCACAACAGAAAATGTTTAGGTCTTGATAAGAAAAAATAAAATAAAAAAATTCATTCACTCCTTGAAATGTGCCAACTCTTTATCTTTGAACTATTGGCACTTGGTGAGGGCTGAGATGAGCGTTTTATTATCACTGTAACGTATGTTCCTGCAGAGAAGGTTCACATTAAAAACAAGATGCCATGAAGACAGACACGTCCACGATGAAGATCAAGATCAGGGTTTCCGTCAGCGTATTGCAAGCCCCTCACGGGATCTCTGGGTCCAAACTGAGGGGCAAGTTTTTACTTTACTTATTTAAAGACTAAAGCTGTTGGCTGGGATCTTTTTTTGGGGGTTATGTAAACAAGGTTAACCGCGCTCTCCTGCTGGTATAGCCTACATTATTTTATCTTCATGTTAAGAGGAGAGAGAAACGCACTGTGCCTCCCTTTCTCCCGTTTTCTCACCATCGGCACAGAAATAGCAAAAGCCGCACCTACACAGTCCTGCTGTCCTGCCAGTAGGCCGTGCATGACGGCGGGCGAGGAGCCATTGAGCGCCACCTTTAACCGAGTGCCACCTTAAATCCCCAGCTGGACCCGATAGCTTTTTGTTCTCTGTTCTGGCGGAAACCCTGAAGATGACAATGACAATGACTCACACTCCAAAGCTAACACTACAACAGCATACAAAATAAATACCAGCTAAACCGTTCATAATGGCACTAATAAATAGTTAACAAAAAAAAAAAGAAAAGAAAAAAATCTTCTCAAAGTGTAAAACATGTCAGGCCTGCTATGAAGTTAAAGTCAAACTATCCTATGCTCTTGCGACCAGAGGTAGGTAAAGAGACTTAAACACACATGAAGATAGAGCAGGGCTGAGAAACATATCATACAATCGTATATGAGCTTTTACACAGCAGATGTTAGAAAATCATTCAAAGTAATCCAACATGCAAACCTATAGGAAACACATGAGCAGACGCAGACATGATGAGTCGATGCAGAATGGATGGGCGTGTGTGTGCATGTGTGCGTGTGTATGTATGTTGTGTGAAAGTAGCAGTAGAGTCCTGGTCCTGGATAGCTTCAGTATTTACACGTCCTTTGAATAAAGCTTTTCTCTCCGTATTTTTGGTTTTTGGTATTTGTGATTTTGGTATGGTTGTCGATTTTTTGGGATTTTTTTTGTTTTTTGTCATTGTGTATTCCTCCTCCGCCTCCTCCTCAGGTAAATTTTTGGTTTAAACGTATCCACCCCACTCCTCTTCCTTCAGACCCGCAGCTTTTCTTATTAATAATAACAACAATAAAAAAAAGAAAGCAAAGTCCTCCTCTTCTTCATTTTTTTTGTCCTTGCGCCATTCCTTTGTCATATAGTAAAGTTTTTCTTTTGTCATTTTTGGTTTATGCACTTCGACGAGCACCTCTACCATCTCTTTGTTAAAGAGTCATCGGTTTGCTTTCCTTCAAAGAGAAAGAGTGGAGAGGTGCCTTGTCGACATCACGTGTTCTTGACAAAAAGGTCCCACGTTGCCTCCTTTCCATCTTTGTTTGTTTTTTTTGGATAGATAAAGATTTTTGGTTTCAATCTTCTCCTTTCTCTCCCTTCTCCCCTCTTTCACCTCTTTCCCTCCATCTCTCCTCTTTCATTCTGTGTATTTTTGGCATCGAAAGACTGGGAGAGAAGGAGAGAGAGAGCCATTGAGGAAAAGAAAAATAACGAAAGAAGAGCACAAGAGAGAGAAAGAGATAGCTTTGGTGTGAAAGGCGAGGTTATAGTATCCTCCTTCCTCCTCCTCTCTGATTGGCCCTTGGAGGGGGTCACTCGATCTTGGCCCCGCCCAGAGAGGGCGGGCTGTGTGCCATTTCGCTGGAGGAGCAGGAAGAGGCGGGGCTGGAGCAGGGAGAGGGGGAGCAGGGTGTGGGGCTGATGCTGCTGGCCGAGGGGAAGGGCGAGGACTGGGAGAGTTTGGCTACGGTGGTGCTGACCAGTCCGGCGTTGGGATTCTGGCCAATGTGGAGGAGGGCGGGGTGGTTGAGGAAGAGGGAGGAGGGGATGCCCCCACCTTGACCCCCGGATGCCCCCAGCATCACCTTGCTCCCACCCTCAAGAGTGGAAAGAGGTAGGTGGCCACCACTGGCTGCTAGGGCTGAGGCAGAGAGAGAAAAAAGGTTAATAAAATTGCCCACCGTGGCCAGAGGACACTTTCACAGTATATCAGAATATAAAATCAATACTATATTAAGTTTTGGCTTTTAGTATTTGTCTTTTTTTCTTATTTCTTTTGGGGATTCATCATCTTTAGTTTAGTAACAGTGGTCCTTCTCTCAGGCTTCTTCACCTTCCACTGCTGAACTAAATGACTTCCTGCAGCACAGATCCCACCCTGTGTTAGAAAAAAGTGGGAAATTGTTCTTTTCAAAAAAACCTAATGTCAGTCCCCATTTCAACACACTGGCGCGAGATGTAACAGCTTGTTAAAAATAATCGAACATTGTGAAATATCTTCAGCGAGCTAATCTTAGGGGATCAGGTTTGCATCAGTTTAGCTGATCGGAGATCTGTGATTGGCTGTTTCATGCACAGACTGTGCCAAAGATAGAGAGCTGAATTTTAATTACACTCATGTTTATGACTGTTTAGCATAAGGAACACTTTTTTTTTAAAGTGCTCATTTTACGCACATCTGCAGGCTTATTTTATTTTGCGGATTTACTGAAATAGGTTTGCATGCTTTTATAATTTCATGCTGCCTATTTTCACCCTGCTCTGTCGACAGTGAAGCAGCGTTGGTTACGTACATAAATAGCATAGCTGTCTAATAGACCTCACACAAAAACAAAACCAAAGATCTGCGGTCGATTGTGTACTATACAGCAAAACCAAGGATGCTTTTTTGATTGCTCCTTTATTCCCAGTGGGTCACCACAGCAGAGGGACCCACTTAATTGATCGGGCACAGATCCGAAGCCCTTCCTGACTCAACTCTCCCATTTATCTGTGCTTGGGATTGTAGGAGTAGGACAAGGAGAAGTGAACTAGCAGGTGACCCCCTGAGGCTGGGCTTGGATGCCAAACAAATGTATTAATTTCACGACACTGTGGCAAAACCTGCAGCTTCGATGGAAGCATTAACTGCCTGTACAACTTCTAATGTTTGTTCTTTGGGAAAAGAAACATTTGTAAATACGGCCTTCTCCTAGAGTTATGCAGTAAAGAGTAAAAGAGAAGCAGAAAGACTGTAGCATTAGCCCTGTTAGTAATTATATTGTGATTTGTCTATTGCTGTAGCATCATCTTCTTCTTTCCATTAGGGGTCGCCACAGTGGATCATCTGCCCCAACCTCATCCTGTCATTAGCATCCTCCTCTGTCACACCAGCCCTCTGCATCTCCGCCTTCATTACATTCATACTTCTCTGTGGTCTTCCCTTTTTTCTCCTACCTGGCAGCTCCATCTCCAACATCCCTTTTCAAATATATTCACTATCCCTCCTCTGCAAACCATCTCAGCCTTGCCTCTCGGACTACATCTCCATCACTCCCAATAAATATCTGAGTATCTTCAGCTCTGCCTCCTGGTTTTTTTGTGTCACCGTCTCTGTACATCATAGCAGGTCTCACTGCCATCTTCTTCTATTGTGGTTTCAAAAAAGGTAATGGAGTAAGTAATAAAAGTTCAGTTCTTCGCCCCTGCATATGAAACATTTTAGAGTTGCAGAAGCAGCTGAGCGAGAAAGTAAAATCAAGTCACCGTGTCTCATATGCTAGATCTATCTATCTATTCTACATTCTGTCAATGTTCTATGTAAATACATTTCTAAGGGTGCTGCTGACATGAAATTATCACCAGATGTCACTAACAACCCATCTAACCAACTAAAATCCATCTGTAATTAGAAAGTAATCTAGTTTAGTCCCAGCTGGTGGCCTATAAAAAGATCTCGTACAATAAACATCTCATGATGGGTAAAACTAATGAGCGCCTTCAAGCCCTTCGCAACTTTATTGTTGCAGACATAGTGATGGCATTACAGAAGAAATTCTAATCTACTCAAGCTACCTGCGAGCATCTTTTGGAGTGAAAAGAATTATCAGAAGAGTTATCCAAGAGCCAAGGACCTTGAATCAGCAGGTGCCACACAGGACTTCATTGCTGAAGAAAAAGCATGCTGAAGATCATTTAGGGTTTGCTGAATAACATGGAGACCAATCATCTGAAAGCCACTGAAAATCTATGAAATGACTAAAGCTCAGAGACTGTTTGTGTGGAAGAACGGGCCAAAATCACACCTGAGCAACGCACGCAGCTAGTTTCTCCATACATGAGGCGTTTTTAGGCTGTCATTGCCAATAAAGCCTTTTGTACAAAGTATTAAATACATTTCAGTAATACTGTTACCCTGTGTCATTTACCATCACTACACATAACTTATGTGTGTTTTTTGTTTTGCATGTGTGGACTGGATGGGTTGTTACTGACATCTGGTGAGAATTTCATGCCAATAGCACCTTTAGAAATATATTTATTTGGAACATTGATAAGAAGGTTTATTCCTACCGTTGGCTCTGTATGATCATCGAAAGCAGTTATATTTAATATTATCTTGGCTCTGTGTTGTTTACCGCAAACGCTCCAAGAGAAATGTGTGGCCTTAAAGGGAGAGGTAATAAAACCGCTTTTTCCAAGACGGTGGGTGAACAGTAGGGCTGCACTGAGGCCCAAAATAAGGTACATTTATGCTGATTATTTTTAACTGTAAATTATGCAAAGCTACTCAAGTGGAGTCCGAGAATAAAAGCAAGGGGAAATAAACATAATAGGCCCCCTTTAAAGGAAAGAGGAAGACTAAAAGTATAATATGGGCACTTTAACAGAAGTATTTGGCTACCAGACAGCTCTAAAGTGGAGAATGTCTTATGTGTTGACTGATTTACAGCCTGTTAAGAACAATTATGGTGGTTTTTTTGCTTTTCGGTGATAACGTTTGGTTTTCAGTGATGTTTTAAGATTAAAATCCCCTGTTGACTTTAGATACTCTGACAACAATCCATAAGTCCTCTGCCTGCTATTTGAATTACCGATATAAAAAGAACTTCACCTAAACTGAAAGATGACTTATGACGAACTTCCCAAACAGACTGCCTCGAAAAGATTTCTTCTGAGGTTTTCCCTCAAACTCTCAACATATTTTTGATGATTAGATAAAAAGATGAAAAGGATGCGTGAGACAGCACGAAGACAGAAACAAGCCCACACATTAACGTAAACCACCACCGTCACTTACACACAGACACTTAATGGGATGGGTTCATGCATGTAGATGATAATGTATGACAAATAAGTTTATTCCTCTTCTCTGCAGCTCTCTCAACTGTGGATGAACACACTTGTTTGCCCATTCATCCGTGTCTCCAGTCGGTAATCAGCGTGTGCGACCTGATTCACCCACCATGTATTAACTGTATTACTCATCCTCACACTTCTCTTTTTACTGCAGCTCCCTCCCCCTTCACGCTGTCACCCCACAAAGCGAGGTTAAAAACTAGCTCTGCTAAACTGACGTTAGCTGGGACTCTTCCCTGGTCACTCTTGTGGGACACAAAAGTTTTTTTTGTGGCTATTTTTGTCTTGTTCTTGAGTGTAGGAAGGTTTATGTAGGGGTCCTGAAGAGTGTGCATTTGAGTTTTAACATTTATGTGTGTAGGTGTGTTTGAGAGGACGACTTCTCTAACAGTTTTAGAGGAGGAAGATGCACCGCCTTTCTGCTGAAGATGGGTTTTTTTTATGTATTCTCTGACCCTGAGACTGCTCAAGAAATGAAATAATACTGCACACCACCTCACCTCCACCTCAGCTTTGACCTTTTAATTATATTCTGTTTATGAGAGGGGCTGAAGGCAGGCTTTGTACCTCTTTTTTGTTATTCTCTCTCCTATTTTCCTTTCAATGTCTCTCTCTCTCTCTCTCTCTCTCTCTCTCACACACACACACACACACACACACACACACACACACACACACACACACACACACACACACACACACACACCTTGGATAGTGGCCAGGGGATTGTTACCGAGGAGGGCTTGATTCATCCCTGTGTTAACTCCCATCACAGTGTTCCTGTTGTGACACGCGCGCGCACACGCACCAAGCACGACACATGTGCAAGCAGACACACAAACAGAGACAGGCAGAGGAGAAAAGGTGAGGGAGGGGAGGAAAAAGCAGGTTTAGTGGCAAGGACAGGCAGAAGGCAAATTCATCTCAGCACGTATAAAGAGCAGAAGTTTGCTGACTGTTGGCTGCACAAATGCAAACGAGGTTCGAAATGCAGAAAGAAACAGAGCAACCTAATGAAGTATTATTCATCTTAACACAGAATTCACATGAAATAATGAAGAAACACATCTGAACTGTCTAAAGTGTGTAATGTGTGTGTGTGTGTGCTTCAGTCGTATTCACCTCAGGTTTGCAGCAAAATCGGTGATATAGTTAGACACGTCACCATTCTTTTTACCCATTCGCCATAAGCTGTGAACACAAAAATCACACACACACACACACACACACACACACACACACACACACACACACACACACACAGAGTTAGCATGCACTGCTGCACAGGGGAAGCAGTGGCATCCAGCGGCATGCTGGGATATCAGTTAATGCTTATGTGCTCAGTCACTGTTTGTGTGTTTGTGTGTACAGTAAAAAGCATTTAACTACAAATTGCAGCTGAACCGAGCGTGGAGCAGTGCAGTATTGATTGTGAGCAGTGTTTGTGGAAATGTGTGGCCGTATGCAGTTGCGTTTTCAGACTGCAGATCAAGATAAATGATTAAAACCGATGATTCACCTCTGACTTCATGTTGCTGGTGGGTAAGGTTAATGTTCAACCACGCACATAGATTGGTTTTAAATATTAATCCTTTGCATTTTATAATATTACTCATATTAAATGACTAATTAGTATTCAGGTTAATGATACAAGTATATGTAAACGTAATCCGTGTGAGATAAATATTTAGGCTTCAGGTGGCTCTAAATTTTCAGCCTAAGACCTTCTTTTTTGTCTACTTATGACTCAACATAGCGTCAGTGAGCACAATACACTTAACCTGATCATCTCAGGCTCATCAGCCCTATTCACTTTCTGTTTAACTATTTTGTTTATGAGAGGCAATCAGAAGAAAACTGGCCTAAAGGGAGATAAACTGAGGAGCTGCACAGGGAGCTGGTATAAGATAATTCAGGCTTATTATGAATTATTATGCAGAGCTAGTCTAGAGGGATATGGAGCTAAAAAGGAGCACAGCAGTTCCCCTTTTTTTCCTACACATATTTTTTGATGTATATTTTCTGATACTTCTGCTGACAGTGGAGGCGAATTAATCTTTTTTAAATGTGCTTGTCACAGCTTTGAATTGAGTTATGTCCAAAATATTATATTTCCTGTTTGCAAAGTTTATTTTCTTCACAAGCACAAAACGGGTGTTGCCAATAAAAACTGGAACGTTTCTTTTTCTGCACTGAATTGCTGCTTTTAATTTTCCAACACTGCTAGCACCAGAGATGACGCTCCACGTTCAGGATCCACAGCAGTCAGTCGTCAAACTCAGAGAGGTATCAAATCTGTCAAAGACAGAACAACAGCTACGCCACATATGTCTCTCTGTCACTATCGTCAAACCTGCATTTATTTGGGTGAAAGCTGCGGTGGTAAGAGGTGCTCTGAGGTGCTTTGCTGTGAAGGCCTCGTGGCCTCTTACCCTGTGTTAAGGTTGAGTGTGCTGTGGCTGGGGGTGGCCGGGCTGGCTGTGCTGCGGGGAGGAATAGGTGGAGGAGGTGGAGTTGCCGGGGAGGGAGTGGAGCTGAGTGGGGTGTGGGTTAAGCTGAGAGAGGGGTGGGTGGAGGTGAGGCTGGAAGTCAGAGGGCAGACGGAGGACATGGTGGTCACCGATGTGCTGCTGAGACTCGTCACGGCCTGTGACATCTGGCTGGACATCTGTCAGAGAGGAAAAAGAGGACAGCGGCGTGTTTATTACCGACGACTTCGATAAAAATACTTTTGGGAAAGTTGCTGCAATGCGTTCGACTAGGCGTACCATGTGAGGGCTGTAGCAGGGTGGCTTGTGCGCTGGTGGGGCTGTGGGGGGCTGGTTGGGCAGAGGAGGAGTGGCACTGCTCGGGTTGATGCGCTTCTCTTTTTGCCTGCGGTTGCAGAACCAGACCCGGATCACCTCCTTCTCCATGTTGAGTTGCTCGGCGATCAGCAGGATCTCCTCTGAGGTAGGCTTCTGGTTCTGCAGAAGGCGGCATGATGGAAAATATTAACAACGGCAAGACGTGAAGAATTTTCACAACCACAAAGAATGAAAATCTGAAAATTACAGAAAATAAAAGGCTGTGTACACAAATTACTTTACTGTCAGGTGTCTAATGAAGCTGAAGGCTTCATTTGTCAATGTGTTTGTTACAAGTGCTGCGAGGCTGACAACAAAACCATACACAGTGGTGACAGGAAACCACAAACATCTTTATTTGTACTTAAAAACACTTTAAGAGGGGCGAAGCCAGCTACTGTCAGATCAGTCTGCCTCGGTGGATCTTGCATTTGGGGCAAGATTAAGTATTATTAAGTAAGTATTTCGGTGACTTTTTTAATATTTTAAAATCCACATTTAGTTGTTTTGTTTTTTTTGGTGTATAACCTATGAGCAACACCAACATAAAAGGGATAAAGATAAAAGAATCCTGTGTAATACAGAAAAAAAGACAGTCACTGTAATAATAAGTTGACTCATCTTACCGTCATGAAAGAGCGCTCCAGGGCCACACGTACATTCGTCTCGATGCTGGTTCTCTTCTTTCTGCGGCGCGAGGGAACGCCGTCGAAGCCCAGAGAGGGTGAGGACAGGGAGCTGGGGCTGGGCAGGGTGCTGTCTATGGACATGGTCTCTGAAGGGCAAATTCACCAGCACGTTCACACAAGCTTAACGTTCAACTGACAACAGTCATAACACCTACTCTGTGCATCTGCAGTTCTTGGAAAATACTGTGAATCATCTCTATCTCAATCTGATATTCCAGTTTGTGTGACTGCAGTGATCTCACCTGCATCATTCAGCCACTTCTCCAGCAGTGGCTTCAGCTTGCACATGTTCTTAAAGCTCAGGTTGAGGGCTTCGAAGCGGGAGATGGTGGTCTGGCTGAAGTCATTGCCGTACAGCTTCCCCATGGCCAAGCCTACATCTCCCTGATGGACAGATTAAAAGCAAAAGAAATTAAAATGTATTCACCAAAAAAACCCAAAGCATGTAGTGTTGGTGTAGAGGGGTGTCTCACTTACCTGTGTGAAGCCTAGTTTGATGCGTCTTTGTTTGAAAGTGCGGGCAAACTGTTCCAGCTCTTCGAGGTCACTGGGGTCCTCGGGGTGAGAGGTCACGGAAGGCACCGTGGTCACACCTCCACCACTCACCTCCACACCCTTATCTCGCTGCAGCAGGAGGAGTGAAAGTGAGAGTGAGACAGAAACAGAAGTGTTTGTTAATGACTCGTGCTGCTGAGGCTGGGTTTTTCTTTTCCACTGACTAAAGCTTCAAAGTTTCCTTGTACCTGTGCCTGAAGCCCCATTCTAGTCGGAGCAGAGAGCAGGCTCCCTTGGTTTTGCTGAGGTAGCGGAATAAGATTTGGTGTCGATAGGAGTCCTAAAGAAGAAAAGCAAAATATGAGTTATGTGTATAATTTGTGTCTAAATGACTGTATCTATAAGTTATTCTGCCATAAAGGGCCTCCCCACCTTGCTGGCTCTGCTGTGCCTGTGGAAGGAGGAACTGGGCAGGAGACGGGAGCGGGTGGCCGGGGACCAACACCAGCTGCTGTAGCTGCAGCAGCTGCTGAATGTCCTTTCCAGTAGAGAGAGAGAGAACGGATACATCAGACAGACAATAAGATTTTGCAATTCTACAAGCAGAAGGACGGCTTAGTCACATCAAAATGTGCTAGTATGTTATATACGGTTCCTCCAGCTCAGGAAAGGAGGTATATGAAATGTATACCAACAGAACGCGTAGAAGCGAAAGGAAAAACTTTTTCTGTCACGTCAGAGTTAAGAAAAGGAAAATGTGTGCGTTCATGCAAGGTGGAAACTGTGAATCACGAAATCTACAGTAGACATGCATTATGAGCTGCTCCATGGATTGATAGCGGCTCCTCAATCACGCCGCTCATCAGGAAGTGGCTTTAACGGCAGCCAGTACCTGGGCAGTGAGCTGGATTGGCTGGGAGAGGGTGAGCTGGGATGGAGGAGGTGGGACAGGGACGCTTTGGGCGCTCTGCTCCTGTGTATTCTGTCCCTGGGACTGCGACTGAGTCTGCTGCCCCACTTGCTGCTGTTGTTGTTGTTGCTGCTGCTGCTGCTGCTGGGCTTGCTGATTGGCTGCTGCAGCTGCCTGAGCTTGCTGATTGGCTTGGGCGGCTGCGTGGGCAGCGTGAGCTGCATGGGCTGCATTGGACTGCTGCACAGCTGCAGCCAGGAGCTGCGCTTGAGCCTGCTGCAGCAACAGCTGCTGCTGCGCCGGCAACAGAGCTGTCAACTGGTGGAAAGGACGAGAGAAGAGAGGAGAAGCAAGGAGAGGAGAGGATTAAGAAATCAAGAGTGGGAAATGCACAAAGGTGACAAAAGAGGGAAACAAAGTGTTCAAAAAGCACCACCAGAGGAGTGAGCGAGGCAAAAGCAAAAGCCAAGTGCGTGTCTATGTGAGCATACTACAAGTCAGTCTTACCCCTGCTAACTGGGAGCCGGTCAGCATGAGCTGTGTGTGTTGCAGAGCAGTCTGTGAGGGGGTCGGGCCGTGAGAGGAAGGGAGGGCTGGGGACATGTCAGCACACTCCTCCATCTTATTCTAAGATGAAGACATAACAGCAAAGCATATACAGAAATGGAAACACGGTTAGAGGGCCAGCGCTAGAATTAAAGCTCGATTTGATATAAACGTGTTTGTAATTATCCAATCGAGACTATGCAAGCAAATGCCATCCTGTCACAGATATCCATAAGTTAGGAAAATATTAAATATCTTTGGATAATATTGGACTAATTAAGTGCTACTTTAACTCAACTCTAGAGCATGAGACTATAAGAATTTATCCATGTTTAAGACACATAGCTCACTAGGATAAATCATTTGAATGTCTTAAAGCGTGCAATTTCCTCGAATGCTTCAAATGTGTCCCCAGTCTGTGTGATAAAATACAACTCCACTAGACTTTTTTCCCCTGTCCCATCCTTCTCAAAGAGTTGATCTTTCCTCCCAGACCCAGCCATGTTCAGACAGACAGAGGGGATCTTTTCCAGCGTACCTATTTGAATATCTCTTGTGGTATGCAAATAGGGAAGATTTTACCTTTTGGTGAGAAGTAATATTTCAGATTTACTTCAGTACTGAAAAGGCTTTGTGAAAAACACGAGTGCCATCATACTCTCTGCTCTTTGCAAACGTGTTTACATTGGGGACTGGGTGGAGAGTCGACACATTATCAACCTCAACGTCGAGCGTGACAAAAGAGTAATTCAGTGCATAGAAATGAACACAAAGCTGAAGCAGCCGTACCGTCAATAAAACCCAGCGTGTGACGTTGAGACACAAAAGATGTACAAACGCAAACACAGGCTCAGACACACACACACACACACAGTTCAGTAATGTGGACACACACGCAAAAGCACACACTCACCTTGGTGCTGCTCAGGTTTGGTGACAGAGGAAAAGGACAGGCTTTCATTGACTGAGTCTAGAAGAGAAGAATTAGACACAGTCTTAGAAATTACTTCAAAATGCATCATATTCCATCTCTGCTAAAAGAAAAATGGATATCTGGATTCCTGACTGTGTGAAAAGTTAGCTTGCGATGTTACTTGCAAATAACTGAGGGACTAATCGATGGGGGAAGTGATGGTTAGTTTGTCTGGAAGTACCGACTTTTGGTGAAAACAGATAAAAAAAAGAAAGGAAAGGCAGGTTTGATGGAGCTCTTTTATCAAAATGTTGCAAGTAAATATTTTTTTCTATGTCAGACTCTGTGCTGGAGTGTGTGTGCAACACTGAATCTTCTTCTTAGGTGGATCAATCAGAAAAAAGATGAAGGGGGGGGAGATGAAGGTAAATACACAGGAGTAACATGTACCTGATGATTTGATTCTGGTCCATTCCGCTCTGAATCTGTGTGGGTGGCAAAGGAAAAAGTGATAAATGACATCTTCATCACCGCATCAACTTACAGCTGCAATTTCCGAAGTCATGCATGTGTCGCTCTTTTTGTTTTTTTGTTTTTTTTTAACATATATATTCCGCATTAAATCACGTGTACGTGTGGGTGTGTGTTTGCCGTCTGCCTCTCAGACCCTCGCCGCTTACCTGTGCCCTCCAATGGTGAGTCAGCCCCGACTTTTTCAGCCTCTCCTGGCTTTGACATCCTGATATCTGTAACAGGAAAGCACGCAGATAAACAAGTCAGACAGGCTGACTCCTAAATATGTGTCAGATAAAAAGTGCAGAGAGTGACAGAATAACAGAAGAAGCAAGCGGAGACAATCTAGATGACAGAAGGGGAAAGAGTACGGCCAGGGCGCTCATCTCAGATAGGTTAGGGTTAAATGTTTTCAGGTCACAGCCTGAGCCTACACACTGTACACCACACAATGTAGCTGAATCATTCACTGAGCCCACATTCATTCATTCTTTCTTTCCAATTAGTGGTTTAACATAAGAGTAGGTTGACCCAAGGTGTCTGCTGGTTCTAAATTTAACTCAAGGTGTTTACGTGGGAGACTTGGTGTACTAAAAATGTCTCACACTGTGTGTCACTCATTACAAGACCACATCACTTCCTGGTTGAATTGGGACAGTCCCTATAGCAACAGCAATGAATGGAGGGAGACAATAAGCTAAAGTCTTTAATTACTTTATTAGCACAAAAACACGGGAGCATTTTGGTAGCAGGGTGTACAGGAAAGATGGGACTGAAGATAATTAGTGTGGGTGAGCGGGTGTTTATATATAACTACACACACGTGTGTGTGTGTGGGTGTTTCTCTAGCAGTTTTCTTTCTATGTTACAGTACAACAGTACCATTCATTATAAAAGCCTTTTTATTTGTCTGAAACCACAAACTGTTGTGTCCATTTGAAACCCTTTTTTCCCCTCCTGCTCTGACTCCTTAACATGCGCACACACAAACACACACAGATACACAGTGCTACTTCCCTTTTGTGAAAACATGCAAATCTGCCCAACGACCAACTAATTATATCTGCCACCTGCATAATAAACTCTCAGTCTCCCTCCTCCTTTTTCTCTCTACTCTTTCCCCCCCTTCCTCTCCTCTTTATGTCTCCTCTCTTCATCCTGTAGTCTCACGGGCTGCACATGACATAAACTGTACATCTTCCCTCTGCCTTTTATCAGCATGACACCTTAAATATAGAAAATGTCCAACAAGCAAGTGGTCAAGCATTGTTTTCGCCATCAGGGGGCAGTAATCACACACGAAGAAGATGCTCTGCTGACCAACACTGACCCCAGGCCAGTTTTAAATTAGCAAAGCATCAGTAAAGTGCAGTCACTAATCGTAAAAAGTGATACCGATCAAGAGTCACTCCCTTATCAGATGTTCATTCAGCTGCAGAAACACATTCGTCTCAGTGAAACAGATGTGAGAACAGTGGACTTTGGTATACATAGTGTCTTTAGGGAAAGGGGGAAGTGATGATCAGCTTGAAAAGCGCCATTCTGCCGCCAGTGGCTATAACCCTGTGTAAATACACACACACACACGCATGTGCATACACACACACACACTGACTGCAGGATTTCCCTTAAATAGCTGAAGATAAATCGGTCACCCAACGATGCGGATGCAAACATCTGGTTAATATATTATTCTGGTCAGTTTGCGGTTATTCCAGCATTTCATTTGGCACCTGCTTTCAGTGTTACGTGATGTGGCTATTAGTGAAACCAAAAAAAAAAAAAAAACTGCCCAGTGTTGCTCAACTTCTGACAAAAACCCACCGAATATGCACAGAAATAACATCTTCCTCTAAATAATCACAAATTTTTGCCACGCGTAACAAACTGTACCCCACAGCAAAAATCTATAACACACTGTAAAATTTCCACTTCTTCCACATTGGGCCCTGTTACACTGCGATCTTCAGCGCGTGGAGTGTACAATACTAAAGCCAAATCCCCCTCCTCATATAAAATGATTGCCCAGCTCATAAAACCGAAGTAATGCAGAGCTCCCAAAGTGCTGCCTATCGCACTGCGCTGCCCCGTCGCAGGACACGGGGAGAAGGTGCGCGTTGATTCATGGTTAAAAATGGTCTACAGACAGTAGCATGGTGGATAATGTGGTCAGTAATACAGTGGTGGGACAGTATATCAAGATGTAGTGTCTTTTTCTCACTTCCCCTCCCGACTTCCCCTTGTACCGGGTTGAGCGCAGAGTGCTAAACCCAACACTTACTGTCAGCGAGGCTATTAATATTAGCCTGCTCTCTCTCTCTCACTCTCTCTTTCACTCTTTTAAAACCTCCCTCTCTTTTACAACACACTGCTGCACACACAAACACAAATAATTTCGTGTTGGGGTGACTTACACGCTTTGAACATGTTTACAGTGTAAGCGGAGGACGCATCTCTTGACGTTTTTTTTTGCACATGTGGTGCAAACTGCATTTACTGCAGGGATAAGACAGTGCTTCTAACAGGTTTAATTGCTCAGCCCTGTCATTGTTGCTCCGCTACAGCATATGGAGCCCTTGGAGTTAAACAGTAGAGTTCAGAGTTGCTTCACCATACTGAGTGAATCCACAGCAGAGCAAATTTAATGCTGTATAATCCTGTGTCATGAATAAATGATGCAATAGAAAGGAACAAGGAACAACAGTGCCTGTGCTCAGTCTGGACTGTTTCTGTTATTCTCCTCTGGGTATTTTGGCCGAGATGAAACTCCACTGCAACCACCCTGCAAACCCCCTCCCCCCCTTCCCCCCCTCCCCACCAACTCTTCACCCAACTTCCTGATTCAGGACATAACCCCAGCGCCAAGGGGGGTGTCTGGGAACTGGAGTCATAAAACTTACTAACTACAGATTTGAGAAGCCAAGCGGTGCTGAGGGTTGCCGAATTTGATTGCAAAGAAACATTTTCCATTTAAAAGTGAATGTCAAAGAGTCATGTCAACACCAATCGCATATCTGTGCCAGGATGAGACAAGCAGGAAGAACATGTTAGTGTCTAAATTGTTAATATAGTAATGATAAAATATGGAGCTGGACAGATATTAATAATATTAGAAATAATAATAATAATAAAACGATGATTTAGGAATCAAGAGAAGAACTCAAGCTGAAAAAACAAATACAGTGAGAACCTGAAGGAACAAATTTGGGATGCCACAACAAGGCCATAACATGTCATGAGGGTCTCTGCTCTTGTCAGTTTGGGTCGTTTGTTTAATCTAAGTTACTATTGTTGTGTTTTTTTGTTTGTAACACATAAAAATGCCTCATACAAGTGAATAAAACACATGAATGTAACCAAATGCTGCTGGAACTGAGAGACAAAGGTCACCACCACATAATGCCCATAAAATCATTTTTTCCCACTTCTACACAGTGTAAATAATTTTTTTTTACGGATGGCAATGATGTACTTTTACCAGATTAATAAGACTGAGTGCTTTCAAATTTCCACACTTAATTTCCCTCATTCATTTACTTTCAATGTTTAAAATGAGCAAAAATGATTAACTTTACAGAAAACCTAAACACGGCTCACGAGGTGACACATCAAAAATAATTGTACAAGATTATTCCCGATATACACGAATGTTTACCGCACTGGCTTTCCACACCGGTGCACCTTTGTGAAGCTGTGCGTTACATAATCTGGCGTGATGTGCCGTTTGTTGAAGTTTGCGAGAAGGACATGTCACTTTGGTCAGAGTAACTTCCCAGAGGTCACAGCAGTGACCACATGAGGTTAAGGAGTGACTCTGTGAATGTTGTGCCGTGAATCACTCACTGATAAACCGTGAACATCACAGATCTTATATATATATTTTTTTAGAAATTCTATCTCGACGACAAAGACTGAGTAATGTGAGCTAATTGACATTTAGAAATTGTATTTCGGGTAACAGGTGAGTCAGCTAACTGCTTGCTGATCTCTCGTAGGTCGTCGGTCAACCGAGACTTTGTCTGCCTGTTCTCATAGGCTGTGCTGAGCGGACCACCCAGACGCAGAGTAGGAAGAGTTACACTATTCCTACTCCGCATTATTTGTAAATGCTGAGGCTAAAAAAAAGTTTTTTTTTACATAACTGTCCTTAAATCAGAGAGTTTGGAATTCATTGACAGACTTGAAAATGAGCAATAATCAATGCAATGCTCCATCGCACACACACAAACACAAAGTATCCTCCAGCTTTAAAGATGCACTTTATCAGAAAAAACATCTGTAAAGTGAACACACAAGTAACGGCGCTCATCACTGGAGAGAAAGCGTTTTGATGATGGACAATGAAAAGTAATCTCAGTACAGAAACACAGTCGAGCTGCAGAAGTCGCCTTTCATTAGCTGAATGTTAGAAAAGACTCTTCAAATAAATTTTTCATTACATTTTCCTCAAGGTTATTTAGCATTCAATATTCAGTTTAAACACGCGCACACACACACACACACACACACAAACAGAGGCATGCTACGGGCTGGTGAAGTGTCTGACCTTTCCCTATGCAAGAGACAGGCGTCCACTCATCCATCCATCCATCCACCCCCCCTCCATCCCTCGTACCACCTCTCACCCTTTGATGTTCCCCAATTAGCTGAGCTTGTTAGACCCACTGGCATTAATCAACAGCATATCACAATCTCTCTCTCACACACACACACGCACACACACACACACACACACACACACACGTCCCTCTAACTCACGCAAAGCTTAATTGGTCTTGGTAAATGAAGGCCAGCAACGATAGAGAGCTGCACAGACAGTCACTCACCTGGCAACCACATGCTGGAGAAGTCCTTTGCTGCTATTGCCGCTGTCTTGGTCATATCTGCGAGAGAGCGTATACGCGACCTAAAGAATAACTCTCACTCTCCCTCTCTCTGTCGCTCTCTAACCAAAAGGAGGAGTGTATTAAATCATATGGTTGAATTACTCTTCCCCTCTCTTCTCTCTCTCTCTCTCTCTCTGTTTCTCTCTCGCTCACACATGCACATGACAGTAGTCCACACCCCCCAAGCCCCACCTCCTCCCCACATCCTGCAACACACAGGAAGTAAGCCTCAAAAGAGTAGGAACTGTTCTCAAAGAGGAGAGAAAAATACAAAAAAGATAAAAAAGAAATTGGAGACACGCAAGAGGTTAAAGAGTGGGAGAGAGTGAGTGAGTGAGCGAGGAGAT